TGAGGCAAGCAGAGACTAGGAAAGCACTTGGGCTGGAGAACATGCCCTCTCTCTGGCTGCTTTGGGGTCTGTCCGTGGTGATGTGACGCCCACGCCAGATGCTGGGAGGCACATGGCCGGGTCATAGCTGTCATCCCAGCTGACACTGAGCCAACCACCTGGTATGTCAGTGAGACCACACACTGCACTCTATGCCCCCAGATCAGAAGAACTGCCCAATTGATCCACAGAAGGATTTACATCCCTTCCTTTAGGGGAAGTTTATTATTCAGCAAAAACCAACTGATAAGTCAAGTAACCCTACAGTGTGTTAGCCCACCTAGGCAATGACCTTGATGGAAAACCATGATGTTGACAGCCAGATGCAAAGAGCCTTCCACCTACAGAAACCCAACCCATGCCACAAGGTCAGATCCCACTCAAATGCTGTAACTTTGTTAAGCGGTCTGTGATCTCCAGCCCTCAACTGAGCAGGCCCCCATGCTCAGTTTGCTCTGCTTGATCAGCGTTCTTGTGATGTGTCTTCACACCGCAAGGCTCTTGAAAGTAGAGACAGACATCTCTGTGTCACTCTTGTGCTTACTATAATGTCAGCAAAAAAACTGTTTTAACTCAACTGAAAACTGATCATTTAAAAAAGATAAACCATCCAACTTTTCTATATATTTGAAAGTTTTCATAATGTTTCAAAATGTTGGGGTAGGGGAGGATGAAATAAACTTATTTTTTATTTACTGACCCAATACCACACTGTAAACACCATGACCTCAGAGCGTATATTTTGTTCATCATGATTCCCAGCACTTAGACCAATACCTGGCCCACAGTAGCTAGTCTACAAATTGTTGTACAAATGAAGAAAAAAGAAGGGATTAAAAGGAAAAGAGCATTCAAGAAAACTCAGAAGAACAAAATGCATCATCAGATGAACTTCTGCTTCAAAGTGTTCATTTGCTCCAAAGAGGGAGACAGAACTGATCAAACGAGACGCCATGTGGGAGCCCCACCCCCCCCCAGGTCACAAACTGCTGGGGGCGAGCGTGTCTGTGGGCCTCGCCACACACTCCGACCCCGAGTGCGGCCACTGGGTGAGGCGCATGGTCACTAAGGGTCCGTGTGTTTGTTCCCAGGCCTGTTTATCCTGATAGTATTTGCAGTTCTACTTAAATATTATGTGAACAGACAGAATGAATTTAAAAAGAAAGAATTCCCTGTTTCTACAAGAACTAGGTTGAACGCTTTGGAAAGTGAGTTGTTAAAACCGTTGTCAAATTAAGGAGACGAGACAGCTCTTAAGGACTGGAAAAAGGCTGACCTGAAAGGATCAGATTGCTTTGCAAGGATCTTTAAACCTCATTCCTCCTGAAAAAGCCTGGGAGTGGAAACCGCAGACACTGGACTGTGGGTGTTTTTTAGGAAGAATGACGGCGGGAAACTCAGGACTGTACACAAAGCGAAGGCCTTGGCCTCACATCACAAGGGGGGACAAGGAATACACATTCATAGGTTGTAAATTAAGATAAAACGTGAAAGGTATGTTTATATAATTTTTAACTGACATTTTTATCGACCAGCTTCTGGTCCTGACTGCCAGGAGTAGACCGTCTGCTTCTTGATCAAAGGGAGAGAGTTTACAATTCAAATGGTGTCACTCCAAAAACCACTGACCTTCGGAAGGGTGGGAATCCACAGAGGAGTATGTAGGTGATCACACCAGCCGCCCAAATGTCCACCTTCAGGCCATAGCTGGGAAAACAGAGAGGGTGGGAGGTGAGAAACAGTGATACGCTCCCCGGAACCCTCCACGTTACAGGACTGGTCCTTGTTTGTCAGGAAAAGAGGTCTTTCCGAGCCACACTGCTCATTTCACGTAGAGGAAAGAATTACCCTTTGGACAAAGACATCTGCTTTTCTCCCACCCTCACCACCCTCGTGGGGATTACTGTCACTATTCCCAAGACCGGCCTCAGGACAGAAGTCCAGGCTTGGGGCTCTTGGAAACAGAAGCACAAACTCGAGTTCTTGGGATCAAAGTCATGTGCAGGTAACAGCCTCTCCTGCTCCCCACACTCCCAAGGGGCATCTGAATACACAGCAGCAGCAGCAAAATACACCTTTTCCCACCAAAGTTAAAGCACGACCCCAAACCACCAGGAGCCTTACCCGGTTTCAGCAATGATTTCTGGAGCCACGTAGGTCGGCGTGCCGCAGACCGTGTACAGAGGGCCTTCCACCACGGTGGCCAGCCCGAAGTCGCCCAGCTTCAAAGACTTGGTTCCATCGGGATATTCACACACCTGGAACGGAAACCAGCCAGTAATCAGAGTTGTTTCTTCCTTGGTTACAAGGCGGCCTTTGGGATTAGGCAGAAACGACGGGTACATTTAATAACAGATTCAAAAGAAATACCTCATGATAATAACACCAGGATTTATGTTCGTTGCTTTTTAAAGCTCTTTTTTTCTGGAGGTTTTTGCATATGATTCTGATTTTTTTTAAACATTTTTTATTGATTTATAATCATTTTACAATGTTGTGTCAAATTCCAGTGTTAAGCACAATTTTTCAGTTATACATGAACATATATATATATTCATTGTCACATTTTTTCCTCTGTGAGCTACCTTAAGATCTTGTGTATATTTCCCTATGCTATACAGTATAATCTTGTTTATCTATTCTACATTTTTGAAATCCCGTCTATCCCTTCCCACTGTCCGCCCCCTTGGCAACCACAAGTTTGTATTCTATGAGTCTATTTCTGTTTTGTATTTACGCTTTGTTTTTTTGTTTTGTTTTGTTTCTGTTTTTGTTTTTGTTTTTTAGATTCCACATATGAGCGATCTCATATGGTATTTTTCTTTCTCTTTCTGGCTTACTTCACTTAGAATGACATTCTCCAGGAGCACCCATGTTGCTGCAAATGGCGTTATGTTGTGCGAAATTTGAAAAACACATCTCCACCTTTGCAAAAAGTTCCTAATGTAGGAGTGTAATGAACACGTGTGCGTGCTGAGGGGGAAAGGCGGTTGCCTACCTGGTGTGGCCTGAGGGGCCTCCGAGCCCGGAGGCAGGAAATTGAGCTTCACTGTATGCTTACTGTGAGGGAGGCACTTGAGAGCCTCAGAACTGGTGTTTATGAAGTGCCCACTGACGGACTAGGTGCTCTCCAATTTACATGTTTAGTTTAGAAGATAAAATCAGGACTAATTCTCTATACAATCATGAATATAAATATTTCATAGAGAAGAACCCTAGAAATTTAAAAGGAAAATGACCCCTAGGATCAGACAGCCTGAAATTGCCTAACCAACCCCTCCACCCGTGTTCTGTGACCTGTGAAAGTCCCTCACCCTCCCCGGGCACATTTCTTCATCTGTGAGATGGGATGGATGCCCCTAGTCCCTGGCTCGTGGGGTTGGTGTGAGGATGAGACGAAGCTCAGATCAGGGCTGGAGGAACACTCCCTCTTTCCCCAGAAGGACTGGTTCACTAGTCAGGTGAGCATCATACTGGAAAAGGTTTACCAACGCTGGGGAAGATGTGAGTGTTCTGCTTACACTGAAGCGACCCTTTCTGAAAAGCATTCCAGCATCGTGTAAATTTCTTAACATCCTTTATAACTTTTGATCCTGTAAATCTACTCCTAAGAACCTACTTTGCGGGAACTGAGATGGAGCCAAAGGTTATGCACAGGAATGCCAATCTCAGAATTCACCTCTGTTTTTAAAAACTGGAAGCCACATAAATGGCCAACAGGGCAATGACTTAATAAATCATGGTAAATTCCTATCAGGAAATATTATACAGTCACTAACAAGCACATTTCAAGTAAATATTAATCATATGAGAAATATTTACTATATTACATGAAACATTTGCTATATTACATAAAACATTTACTATATTCAAAATTGTATATACTGTAATACCTCCAAATGTTAAGTTTATGTCTAGGTGGTAGCATTATGGATTATTATTAAAATTTAATTTAATTTAATTAATTTAAATTAGGATTAAAGTATAAAGAATTTTCTTCTTTATACTTTTCAATAGTTTCGAAAGTATTTACAATGAACATGTACTGTCTTCATAATTTGGAAAAACTAATTTTATATATAAGCAAACTTTCCTTATGGGATAAAAGTCTGAAAGTTACATTTTAAATGGAAGGTTTCAGAAGCAAACGAGCGTGCATGGAGCATAACTGGGATTTGACTGTGTGGTCTGAAAACACCAAATTTCGGCAGAAACCTAACCTGTACTCACACTCTATCTTTCCTCTATTTTTACATTTTAGACATATTTCACTTTTGTTTCCTTGCATTTTACTATGAACTAAACCAGATTTTCACCTAAACCACTACTAACTAAAGGAAGAGAAAAATTTAGAAAATTATGTTATTTCAAGATAAGCACATTCACAGCATCACCCCTGAGTCTGGGACTTCATGGGGGGCGCGGTTTATAAACTCATCAGGCCTCCCCCAAGCCAGCCATCCAGGATCTTCACAGCCCTTTCCTAAAGGATGACACTGAAAACCTTCCTTGCCTGTGGTGATGTCAGCAGTTTAAGAGGAAGATTTTTCACCTTAGTATCTTAATAACTGCTTCCATTTTGTGTACTAAATACACACGCCCTGCTGGCATCTTTATGACTGTCAAGCGTCACAGGACTAGTGGTGAGGATTTCGAGTCCCGCACACAGATATTTATCTTTCTGAGTCAGCCCACAACCCAGCAGAAGCATGTTCAAAGCGACTAATGATCTAGCCTAAAGCAACAGAAACCAGGTTCTTAGTCACGCTTAGTCTTAGGGTGACTTTCCATCCATTATGTTTAACGTAAACACAAACGAGAGCAATCTGAATTACAGTTAGAATTTATGATGCATTTACTGAAACCCAGACTCTAGAAATTCCCCAAGTGACTGCAGTGATAAGAACATTATAAGCAACATTGTAATTCTAAATGTCTGTATCATGAGAGTAGAAACAAGAAGTTTTGTTAATGTCATTTTGTTTTTACAACTTTAAAATGCACTCATTAGGCACATTTTTTAAATGTTTATTTTAGACATTCAGTTTAGGGATGCCTGGGGTGTTCAAGGTTTGTTGTCAGATACTCAGAAGCCCCAGCAGTCCCATTCTTCACGTCCCCTATAAGGAATTCAGAGTCAGACGCAGGAACATAAATAGAAATGGACAGAACGGCCTATAATTGCTGAATTATGTTTAGGCAAGTGGTACTCCTTGGCTAAACATCAAAAGGGAAGTGTCATAAGGGGCAGACGAGCCTGAAATAATAAGACTATTTTATCTGATTCATCTCTCCCCAATGCTAGACACAGACGCAAACATGTGAAACAGAATAGGAGTAAATTTCAAATCTTAGCTGGAGATTCTCTTCAAAGCAGGGAAAATATATATACATCAATAAATCTATACATATGCACACATTTATGACACTGCTCTACGAGACTGACACTGACATACACACGGCTTTGCTATGAAAGACTGATTTTAAGAAAGAGGTGAAACAGTGCGCAGGGCCTCCAAAGGCCTCCTGTTCTGGCAGAGTTCAGTTCTCCCCAGTAATGGACATCCTCACAGGACTCTGGAGATTCCAGCCTTCTCCCAAATACTGTCTCATCACACTTCTACAGTCACCCTGCTGAGCAACTGGGAAGAGTTACTCCATTTTACAGATGCGGAAACTGAGGCTCAGAAAACTCAAGTTACTAGTAAGGGGCCAAGTGGGATTCCAACCTGCACTGTTCTGCAACAGATTCCAGGTCTGAAAAGCTGCACTGCACACAGACCCTGTGTGGGGTTTGAACAAGACCCCCGGGAGAAGCCCAGCCCTGCGGTGCTCCAACCCCCCTCCACGAGCTGGGAGACGCTGTCCGCAGTTGCTCTGACAATGTAAAACTGAAAACCGTGAGGAATGCAGATTCCACGGACAAAGTGAACGCTGCATGCTGTTCTCTAAATAAAATGTCCATGTCCTGATTTAGGAGGACTTCAAATATGAGAAACCAGCCCTCTTGTCTCCCTGTCCCCAGAACTCCTGGGGACGCGGAATTTATCACCAGGCTCTCCTGGTTACCGCTGACAGGGCAGCCCCGGGCTGTAACTCACCGCACTAACGGCCATCCCTGTGCTCCCTGACCCGTCCGTCTCCGCCAGCAGGACTTTGAATTACAGCGCTGCCGCCAGAGAAGGGGATGCAAATCAGATGTCTGAATGCTCTGGTGTTTAGAGACTGAATTCTTCTTAGAGTTGCAAGAGGCTGACGGGTCACTCCACATGGTTACTCTGAGCATCTCGATGGCACTTTCTCATATGGGGCAACGCCAACTTGCTGACCATGGCTAGCACCTGCCGAGGGGCCCAGGTAGGTTCCAACGGCAGACACGGACTAAGACAGGTGCCGTCAAGGGTTTGCACAGCCTAACACCTCGGCCCTTTCATGCCACACATTAGCCTCAACAAGACGTTAGTTTTATTATCTTCTTCCTTCTTCCCTTTAGGCAGCACAATGGGGCAGGACCAGGTCCTGGAGCGGGGCGGACACTCACCTAGGGCAGGTGACACTAGAGGAGACACCCGATCTCAATTCCCTGCCTACATCCTGAGACACATCACGTTGGAGACATCAATCCCCACTACTGAATCTTCTCTTGACGTGTAACGAGAAAAGGATGTGGCATCAGATTCAGAGGTTTTACACACATTAAGACACTGAGGGTGGAAAAGAGCAATGGGAGGTGAGAGTAGGATCTGAGCTGGGAAGCGGGCGCTGCCGGGTTCACAGGGAAGCTGACTACTCCCTCCGTCCCCTGCTCACTGGGCCTCGGCGGTCAGAGCTG